AGGTGGAACAGAGTGTTTTCTGTTTGAGAGAAGAACTCAGTCTAAATAAGCAGAGTTTGCGTGTGAATAAAATAAAACAGAACTTTGGGTATGTTTATGAGGAGTTACACATTATAACATGAAAGAGAGCTCTCAAGAGCCAATTTGTACATTGTAATAAAAGGTAACATGGTGGTCTGTATGTTATGTGCTAGCACTTTATACTCCATAGAAGTGTAATATTTAAATATAAACTTTAAATATATACTTTAAATGATTTGTCACAGTATGCACTCTCACTACCAATGACATTTCTAGCATGATGTTTGACAGCAAAGTGACAACAGTCTTTGAGGTTGGGAAACACAATTACAACAGAAGGAGGTCAGACACATTTGCTCTTATAGGAATTTTGCTTGAGGCTGTGGTCCTCAACATGGGGTCCAAGCAAACTGCTATTACTATCATTCAAAGTTAAACATCTAGTTGAAGTGAAAATACAAAATCAAATAAAATTCCCAATAACAAAGGACTATGGTGACCCCCTGTAGTATAAAGTCCTTCCCCATGGTCTAACAACAACTTACACTATACACTGACATCACAAAATCACACGTAGTTGCTCATTGTATTGACATAAGCATAGTGTTGTCACAATAGTAAAATTTCAAACTCAATTTTTGATTTTCGAAAGGAATAGACTTGATACTCAATACTGATTCCAAAAAAAACCCCTCTTTCGATAAACAATAGTATGTATTTTCAACATTCAGTAGTACTTTCTTCTCTATTCCCATGTGTCCTCATATTTGTGTAATCCCAGGTAGGTTCCATAGTGGTCCAAAGGCGTATACTAGTGTTTATGGTCTTATATTTGTTTTGATACAGCTCAAGATCATTCTGGAAAGCTTTCAGCCTTTCAAGATATTCAGGAAAGGTTCATTACTTTCGTGGGGTTGGGACTTTTTTAGTTTTGATACCAGAAAATGAGTATCTAGTTTTGATACTAGTTTTAGTATTAATTAGTGAAACATAGAAGTATTTATATACATCAAATATACCAATTTATAGATTAAATATGGGTATTAAATAGTATTTATACTCCATAAAATACAACTATTCTGTTTTAATATTTTTTTGTCTCAACAATATCTCTCTCTGAAAATCTTTAAAGGACCCATATTACACTATATGATGGCACGGTGGCTGAGTGGCTAGCACTCATGCCTCACAGCAAGAAGGTTCTGGGTTTGATCCCTGGGTCGCCTGGGCCTTTCTGTGTGGAGTTTGTATGTTTCTCCCCGTGTCTGGATGGGTTTCCTCCGGGTGCTCTGGTTTCCCCCATCAACCCAAAACATGCTACATAGGTCTCCATAAAACAGTTAATAGTCAAGGTCAGTTAAATACAATCAATTCAATCATTGTGTCCTTATTCAAGACACTTCACCCACATTGCCTATTATGAAAGTGGTGTGTGTGTGTGTGTGTGTGTGAGTGATGGTGGTGGTCGAGTGGCATGGCAGCCGCGCCTCTGTCAGTGTGCCCCAGGGCAGCTGTGGCTACAATAGTAGCTTACCGTCACCAGGGTATAGAGTGAATGAATAATGCTGTGTAAAGTGTCTTTGGGGACAGAAAATGTCTGTGAAAGCGCTATATAAATAAAGACTTACTTACTTACTATTATTGGGTTGTGTTTCTTTCACGCATGTTTAACAGACAACCCCTGCATATTTAGGCTGAGTTCTTCTGTCAAACTGAAAACACTCCACCTTGTGATACAGAAAGTGCACCACTGTGTTTTAAACTCCATACACCTTCACTACAATCATTTGGATAATTTCACCCTTGTAACTGTCAATCTCAACTGAACAAAAGGTAAAAGGAGCTGTTAACCAGAAAACTACAGCTTCATGACATCACAACGTGGAACACATTTTGAGAGTTGGAGATGTAGATGTACTAATAATGCAGGATTACTCAAATGTGTGAATGAAACAAAACACCGGGTATTTTTTGAGGAGGTGACAACATTATGAAGCTCACAGGAATCTATTGGAGTAGTATAGGACCTTTATTTTCAGCTTTAGTTTATAGAAGATGTTTAGAATTTCTTTCTAATATGGACATCATTCATAATAGCCCCTTTCTAACTGGAGCAACAGTACAATTAGTCACATATTTATTTCACATAAACTAATTTGTACCACTGACACACACACACGCACGCACGCAAGCACGCACACACACACACACACACACACACACACACACACAAACAAGAGCAGATATAAACCTATAAACCACAAAAAATAACTATTCTAAATCTACAATATTGTTAAAAAAATAATGAGCTGTAATAAATCAACAGTAGAATGACACTTAAGTACTTAGTTTGCATCTGTAATGAGTCATAGAAGTTTCAAACTTTTATAGCTTAGATCTTATAGTATAGCCATAAAATAACAACCCAACATTTCCCAGTTGTGCAAAGAAAATATACACATGATAAATACTGACCCCCCCTAAAAATGGTTCCAAAAAGACAATTAATTATCGTGACAGGCTTAACCAGAACATAGACTTTAAAATGAGGGCAGCACCCAACTGCTGAACACTTCCACCACAATCACACTACATATTGTTGTTGTTTCTAATGACTGTAAAGCCCTTTGTGTTTGATTTAACAAGTTGGGCTGTGATCTATACATCAGATATACATACACCATCTATAAGCCACCATACAAAACTGAAGGAGGTCAGAAACATTTACTCTTAAAGATATTCTGCTTTAAGGCATGTGGTACACCCTGCTGTTACTATTATTTACTAAAGTAGGCCTAAGTCATCTGGAAGAAAAAAAAAAAGGGTTAGGGTTCATAACTCATTCACAACCCCATGCTAAATGCAGCAGCATTCAGACTGATCTATTGTCTACAGCCTATTGTCATTATGCAAGTAAAGAGTTACAAAGGACCTCCTAATACCACAAAGATTTTACTAAAAACATACCTAGAGTTGTGTTTTCTTTCATTCACCCATGTTTGAGTAACCCTGCATTATTAGTCTGTCTACAACTCCAAAGCTCAAAATGCTCATGTTTATTAGAGATGGTCAATTGCAAGGCTGAAATCACCCAAATGATTCTAGTGAGAGCACTGGAGCACTTCCTGTATTACCACATGGGGGAACTGAGTGTTTTCAGTTTGAGAGAAGAACTCTAAAAATGCAGGGTTTGTGTGTTAAACATGTGTGACTGAAACAAAAACAATTCCAGCTATGTTTGTGATGAGGAAACAACATTATAACAGAGATTAGAAAATAGCATAAAACACTGAGGACAGCAACTAACAAATGTTACAAGTTAACCTCGGTGCCTTATTAAGGGAAATTTGTGTGTCTGAAGGTACGTTTATCAAGACAACTTTGGCTGTGTTTGTTCGATTGCCATGAAAATTCACAGTGACGTGTACTTTTACAGCATTTTAGACATGTGTGAGTTTCATTCCCAATTCTGGCTATATTCTAAATCAAGGTGAAAATAATTTGCATGTTTAGTCCAAAATAGCCTGGTTTGGGGCTGTGTGGGAGTGGTGTAATGGGCACAGGAAATGTATGTGAAAATGAACTTCTCATCAAAAACATGCATTTAGGAACCTATTTAGAGCTGGGAAAGTAAAGATCTCTCCAGTTTCACAAAATTTGAGACTATTTCTGCTAGAAAATATCCATTAAAAGAAAAACTGTTTATTTTCTCTATAAATTATTGGCAAGATAAAACATTTCCCATAGACTTCTATTATGGGAGAAATCAGCATGGGAAAACCCTTTTTGTTTAAAATGACAGCATACCAAAACACAAAAAAAATGCAACAAATTCAATCCTCTCACTGATTGTTCATTTGGGTGGGTCAGTCACAAGGATATCAGGAGTTATCCTGAGTTATGGAGTGACAGTATATCACATTATACAATAACTCAGCTATGGATTTAAGGGCTCATGGAAAATTTTGTAATTTTGTGAAAAAATTTGAAAATTCTTACATTTTACATAATTGTAAATTCAAATTTAACAGGAAAACATAAAATAAAAGCCCAAAACCTTTTTAGGCTTTTATTAAAAGGGGGTTGTCAAAATGGGCATTTTATAATAGGAGTCTAAGGAGCAACAAACAAAAAAAAGCACCAAAGTCAATCTTCTCACCAAGAATTCACACTAACCCTAACCAGTCGCACGGATAATAGCCAGTTTCTTTCCTCTGGCTATTATCAGTGCGACTCGGTACATATATTGTTATTGAATTATTGCTTATAATTCAAATTTACTGTACGTGGTATTGGGCACAAACTGGCAAATAAAGGGCTAATCATTTATGGTAATGTAAAGAATCAACTTGTCAATGAAAAGAGAACCACTTCTTGAAAAAAAATAAAATAAAATCATAATTTTTGCAAACGATTAATCTTTGCTAATTTTATGGCAGTTTTAAAAACCAAAATGCACAATTTGTACAAAACACGCCCAGTGTGACTTTTTTTTTTTTTTCCAAATTGATTTTTCCCATAAACAAAAATTCACAAATTTACACTGAACATCCACACTGATAGACCAAGTTACACTGGTCATAGTAGAGTAAAAAAAAAAAAAAGAAAACGCCCATAAAGGAATTATCACTTTGTTCACATTGGCAGTAGGTGGTATGTTGCAAAAACAGCACCTAAAAAAAGTTTGAAAAAGATGATTGTTTGACGATTTTATGGCAGTTTAAACAACGAAATACATTTATTACATATATTTGTTCGAAGCACTCCCAGTGTTCACGTATTTTTAACAAGTGACCGGGGATAGGCAGTGGTCACTGATGGGACGAATACTTAAAGTCAGAATACTTGAAGTCAGTATTCTGAGTACGTATTTACATTTATATCTATTCCCAACACTGGCTGTGATCAACACCAGTGACGGTCCCAACCCCGGACAATGCCCCGGCCCTTTCACCGGTGCCCTTAACCTCTCCTCTTACCTCCAAAACTTGTACGTAGCTGGACGGGAACCATCCGCGGGCTCCTTCCTTCTCTCCCTCCCACCATCCTCCGGGAAGCGCCTGCACTACACGGATCACATCCCCGGCGTCAAAGCTCAGACCCTGCTGGTGCTGCTCCCCGCTGAACGGGTACAAACTTTGACAGTAAGATCCGGACATGACCCGCGCTGTAAGCCTCCTCTCTCCGCCTAAAACATACAAGTAGTCCGTAAAAGTTGTGTCCAAGTGTCGCGACAGAGATCCAGAGGCGACGCGCAAGGATCGTTTAGCACAGAGTTGTGTTCGTCTTTACGCAAGGGCTGTCCACGCCTGTCTGTGTCTGCAGCCTCCCAGCGCTCTTTGGGCTGAGTTGAAGGCGCACCACAAGCACACGTACCCAGCAAGGGAAAGCGCGCAGGAAACGTACGACACGCTACAAAATAAAACCACGTAGGGCACTATCCAACCATAGCATTAAGTCTAAACTAGAACTGTGTGACTATAGTTTTGGCAAATCAACATTTAGCAGGCTATATTTTTCTTCCAGTCTACTGGCATTACGCTTCTCTTTGCTGTGAGACGTACGCAGCCCCAGTACTAGTTCGTTCATTTTATGTAACTTGACTTTTTCACGTGGGCTGAGGTTTTTGTGGAATGTCAACATGCCTGTGTACAGAGGGGTTTGCAAGATTCTATCATAAACTCTGACGATGATGACTCTCCCAAACAAGTACCAGGCCTGGCCCTGCTTAGCTTCTGGCGAGATCTGGCGAGATCAGGCTTTGATAAGCCGGTATGGCTCAAGTAAGAGTAACTGATTGAGTAGCCTACTGCTGGGCCGTAACATCTGATTTATAATTTAAAGGGAACGTAATGTAAACATCAAATACTGCACAAAATCTGGTGCTTTCTGTGGATAAACACAAAAATGAGACAAACTAAATCAAATAATTTCATGTCAACATAAAGCTTTTGTCACTTGGAGGCTTACTCACAGTGGGAAGGGGAACCAAAACTTTTACTATGAGTAGGTCTACTGTTACAAGTAAAAGTATGTTGCTTGAAAAGTATTCGGAAAAGTACAATTTCTTTCAAAAGTTACTGTAAATAACTGAAAGCTACCCACCTCTAGTTACTTTATAATATTGAGGTCTCTGGCAAGTCAGGATTTCATACATGGATAATTTTCTGTTGAAATGTAAGTTAATTGTGTTTGGTTCCCATGAGTTCTCAAATTACATCCACATTTATTTTGTATTATTTGATTTTACAATGGCATTATTGTTATTACAATAAGTCCATCATGCGTCATCCTCTTGATTATCTAGTAAACAGCGCCCTCTAGTGTACCAAAAGGCCACACTTGCATTAGACACTAACCAGAGATATTATTTTCATGTTACTATTTATTTTATAAAACGTTATGAATATTTTGTGTTAGGGGTTCTCAAACCTTTTGAGACGAGCGGCCCCTTATTTGTATGAAAATATTTCAAGGACTCCACCTTGTTCTCTTTGTTAAACTAAACCATAGACTGTATAAAGAAGTGCACAAAGGGAGTGAGATGTCACCCGTAGCGTTCAACTCCAGTCTCACCACCACAGCAGTTAAAGAGGCGAATTTGGAACTATTGATTTACAGACAAAATAGCAAAATAAAAATAAAAACCTCCAGGCTCATGTACAGCAGGCTAATACAAATATTTTAAGTTCAAAATGATGACAGCAGCAGTAACAGACTGAGGGGTAACTTTTTTTCCCCAATACAAAGTGAATTGGAGTGAGAGTTGATGGAGCACCCCCATGCTTACTTCATACTTTGAACATAGTGGCTAGCAGGTTAGTTATGTCCATTTATACAGTCTATTAACTAAACTAAAAAGAAAGAATTACCTTTTTCAAAACACACTCAAAATGGTCTAATTCAGTCCAAATACAGGAACATAACAAAACATCTCTTTCTATCCATCTTGACGTTGTTTGTTGTTGGTTTTGACATTGCTCTGCAGCTTGTCCACCAGCTCATTCTCTGGATGTGGACCTCCTCAGTGTGAGAGCTGCTTCACTGTGGCCGTGCAGCCTTTCACTGCATCATTTGCTTTTCTGAACCAGCCTCAGCTTCCAACTCACTAACATGTTTTCAAAGAAAAAAAAAAACATTAACAGGAGAGACTAACACTGTCACACAAACATGGATTCATACACAGAGCAGACACTGGTTGTGGTGAAGAAGAGCCGGACAGGCTGAGGGGGTCAATGATTTTGCAGAAAGGAAAAAGAGGGGAGGAATCTCTCCTTAAAGGCTGTGATTGGCTGACAGGGACATACAGTGCTTGGTGTCTTTCCTCTGAGCCAGGTTGTGCTGCAGGTCTGTTGTAGAAGACTCCTGGCTCTTCTTCATTCTCCTGTTCCTCGTCCAACATGGCCGACTGCACGCACAAACACATTTAATGCTCTCAATAAGAAATCTTTGTAAAGAAGAAGCAAAGTGTCAAAGAATTAAAACAACAACAAAAAAAAAAACAAGTAATTAAAAAACGTAAATAAAAAAAAGAGTCAAATCTGTTTATCTCTTTTTATGCCTGATATTCTGCTACTTAAATCCTATTACTGTCAGACGTGGGTAGTACTCAATTACATTTATTCCACTTTTTTAGAGACATTACTGAAAGTACTGTTCAGGGTACTTTTCTAGCACAGCACTGTGAGTAAGTCTACAGTAAGTCTATAGTAAGTCTGTTTCTTCTTCAGATATGATTTTGTTTCTCTTATTTTTGCGTGCATTATTGAATGTTTTGTCCTTACATTAACTTATATATTAAAATATTATAAATTATACATCAGATATTACATTTACTCTGCAAGTTACTGTAAATTGAGTAGTTGTTTCCCCAAATACTGCCTACTCTTACCTGAGTAATTTCTTGGACCACTTCTTTGTACTTTTACTTTGGTACTTTTACTAGAGAACAGTTTTTGACTACACTACCCCCCTGTCGCCAGCCCGAGGAAGCACTGTAGGAGCACCTTGGCCTTGATGATGAGCTCATGCTGAGAAGCTCAGTCAGCAGTGGTCTGTCCACACAGCAGCAGTGGTCTGTCCTCACAGCAGTGGACTGTCCTCACAGAAGCAGTGGTCTGTCCTCACAGCAGCATTGGTCTGTCCTCACAGCCGCAGTGGACTGTCCTCACAGCCGCAGTGGACTGTCCTCACAGCCGCAGTGGACTGTCCTCACAGCCGCAGTGGACTGTCCTCACAGCCGCAGTGGACTGTCCTCACAGCAGCAGTGATCTGTCCTCACAGAAGCAGTGGTCTGTCCTCACAGCAGCATTGGTCTGTCCTCACAGCAGTGGACTGTCCTCACAGCCGCAGTGGACTGTCCTCACAGCAGCAGTGGTCTGTCCTCACAGCAGCAGTGGTCTATCCTCACAGCAGTGGACAGTACACTCAGGTCCTCCACCTCATGTAGGCTACGTGAAATTACCATGGATTTTACTGCTATAATTTTGATCTACTTTTTATTTAATTCTTGAATAATATGTTATATACACATAAGAAGATTTCGTGCTTTTATTTTGGTAGTCAGCAGGTAGGAACTGTTATTGATAGAGACACACCTGGTTAAGAAACAGTAGTGTGGCGGGTCAGCAAAGAAGTCAATTAAAGTTAAAATAAAGTGAATAAAGTTAAAATGTTAAAAGGTCATTCTACCTCCAAAGTATGGGTCAGCCAGTGAGGTGTGTTTTTTGTAGTTGTTCATGTCTTCTATTTTCTTCTATTTATGTTTTGTGTCTTCTATATTATACCTTTTCTAATTGTAATTTATGTTAATTATTTTAGTTCGACGGTGGCGTTGGTGATATAGGATGCCTTTGATGCCACCAATAAGTCTCAAGATTGTACAAGCCACAATAAAGATTAAGCAAGAAGAAAAAGAACTCTTTATTGACTACACGAGGAGGTGGTGTGATAGTCGAACTCGGACCTGCATGATTCCCGGCCTCCTGGTGGTGACTTCCCATCATTATAAGAGTTTGCTGCTGCAATTGTGAATGAAGACACATGTTCATCGGTTTCCCTACGGTGGCCGACGGGGGCCAAAAGCACTGTAATAGCTCAATGCGTCTCATTTAGAGAAAACAATTTCAAGTACAGAAACGATGCAAATTCACAGGGTCAAACACAAGTTTAAACGAGGTACAAACAAAATACGTGGTGCAGATGAAAAAAACGCGCTGCAAGAAACAAAGACAAATGCATCATCATCAAATGCGCTGCAAATAGAGAAACGATGCAAAGCGCGAAACGATGAAAACCAAGAAAACACCTGCAAAAGAAAAACGCTGCATAAAGAGTCGCCACAACGGAAGTGCTCCAAACCTGCAGGGGGCGCTCAGTGTAACAGCTCAATGGAGAGACACACCGGCTGGACAGAGAGAAAGGATCTGCCTTTGAGAGACAGAAAACAGCTGACTGACGATAAACTACAGCGGGGACTTATGATTGTTACGGTAATGTGGCTTTTATTTGATTATATTCATCTACTGTGTTACGGTCATAACCCACAAAACTGTCAAATAAGTTTGTTTTAAACTGTGTTAACTGTGTGAACCTCGGAGCTTTGAGCTAAAAGTTTAGCTACTGATTTGGAGCTAACGCGATGAAAAGTCCGCTCAAACTTTCATATTTGGACAGAAAGCGTCGTTGCCCTGCAAATAAGTGCCATTTCTGGGTCTTTGCCTGGAACGATGGACCAGGCTGAGAGAGACTTTAGTGCAGCGGTTTTCAATAGGTGAGGCTCGCCTTCCCTGGGAAGCGCCAAAGAGCCACTGGGAAGGCGTGACACACGCGGACTAAGGCTCGGACTAGACAAGGACTAAACCAGAACTGAATCAGGACTGAGTGTGGGTGACTGTGGGCAAAAGGACTGGCGCAGAGCTCCACGCCCCACGGCGCTAAAGCAGCTGTCGTCTGATCGTGCTTTGCGGACACCTCCATGGGCTTGCGGTTTCTCTCTCTCTCTCAAGTCCAAGATTAGACCTGGTCTAGTCCGGGCCTTCACAGTCAATAATTAATGAAATATTTTTGGCAAATAATAATATCAGAGGTAGTTGACGTATTCTGAAGGGATCCTTGATTGGTGACTGTAAGGATTTTTTTTCTTTTTTGACTATTACTTAAACACAATACATCCAAGCAAGTACAGTAGTAAACTACTACTAACAGAGAAAACGGTAAAGAGAAAACTATTTGAAATATTTCATATTCATTTTCTTTTCTCATTTGCAGACTCCTGTATGAAGACACAACTTACTGCTGGGGCCACAGAACTGTTGGCTGATGAGACACTCATGATTCATGAAATGGG